CTCTCGACAGGTATGCTGTCATCCTCATGCGCTTGCTGAAGAGCACCTGAAATGTCATTTCATATCTCTCATCATGAGAGATCTGATTTCGTACGCTCACATCCGGGCGGAATGAACGAGCTGGCTCTTTGATGTGCTGTGGTGGTTTCCTCCTTACTCTCCGCTCACATGGAGGGCACCTATTTGAGGATACTTGGTCTTGAAGGTTCTCTGCCAGTCGTCAAAGGCCTTGCGAACTGCCGCCCGAACCTGTCAAACGTGAACTAGGGATTGGTGACTGGGCGTTGCTCCAGGATTTGCACTGTTCTGCGCACTTCTTTCGCAAAGGGCCTCAGCGGGTGTCATCACCTTCCTCGGTGGGAAGAGGGACGCTACTGCCCATGCCGTGCACTGATATGCACTCGAGGGAGTGGCTCTGCATTGCGCCGGGCATCTGCAGCTTGTCCACCAAGACCGAGATATCGTCCAAGTCATCCCGCCCAACATCCACAGGGTCCAGTGACATCGTGGACAGTGCCCTTGCACCTCAACTCTGCTTCAAAGATGTTTCAACACTTCTTAAGTCTTCGTAACGACTCCACACATTCCTGCGACAATGCCTCCTAGGCACACTCGCGACCTGCAAGGCGGTGGTAAGGGCCCGGAGGCGACCTGGGCAAGACTTGCAATGCGGAGTGATGCCGAGTGGCACCTCCGATGCTGGCTGTGACGGTTTGTTTGGGGCGAGATGTTCAAGAGGCGTGGAAAACCACAGAAGGTAAGCAGCAAGCTTGCCGTACAAATCTTTGCGGCTGCTGACGTCATAAACCTGTGCCGCAGGCACACGTGCACATGCTGCGTGGGACAAGGCGGTCGACCGCACCGCCTGACCAGAAAAACTGATGTAAATCTCCCTGCGTAGCTCCCCGTCGAAGTGTGAGAGCTCCTGGCGCCAACGAGACTCTGGTGACGGTGATGCTCTGCTCTGGAACAAATTCTTGCCTGCTCTGGCAGGGTACATGAGCAATGAGAAGACTGGACAACCAGTACAGTAGCAGCCGGATGCAGTCAAGGCCAACCAACCAACTTCTCCTTGCAAGAGAATATTCGGCTGCTAGGCACGCTCGGTGAGGCCATAAGCGGCGAGGACAAGGCAAGGCTGCCTAACTGCACATTCGATTCACAGGCCTTGCAGATTATGCGTGAGTGGTGAAAAGAGGCCCGCCACCATGCTCCGACTATACCAACCCACAGCAGACCATGTCTTGAAGCGTGCCGAGTGCAAACGCTACGCTCAACTTTAGAACCTTTGATTCCAGCATTGCGCACTGTGAGCGGGCAAATTATCGGGTGTCGAGCCAAATGCCATTCAAATGTCATCAGCCGACGCGGGAGAAATCATGACCAGTTTGATGAATTTTGCAAGGGAGGTGTTCGAAAACTGAACCACCGACTCATGTCACCGGTCATGTCCTTTAAGACCCCCGAGCAAGGATCCTGGCGCAACTCTGCCTTTCTGTTATCACATCAAGCGCAATGCGACTGATCTGCTTCATTGGTGACCTTGGTGCAGAGCGCCAACACGGACCTTGCAAGCCATTGGACACCTGAAACCCGGGAGTCCAGCAAATCAGCCATTGCACGCTCTGCTCCCCAAGGGATCCCACATAGACCTGACACTTGTCAGACATGCCAAGCAAGTGATGGTGTCTCGCAAGCAGGCCTCCCGTAAAAACGAGATAAACGAATCAAAAAGGATTCTGCCCGCAAGCCGCTACATTGGCCGTTGCCTTCCACATTCGGCTACATTGGGACATTGTCAGATAGGATCGCATGGTCGTGATGGGACAGCTTTGTTGCCATTGAACAAGTCCTGTGACTCCATACTCCAACCCATGACAAGATGACATTGGCCGGGGCTGAGGTCAGATCGTGAGCCATCTGTGGCAGATCGTAGCCACCTTTGAGTTCAAGCCTCTCAGCAGGAGAGCCCTCTGGGCCCCGAGTGAAAGCTTCAACAGCAAACCAAAGCAAAGCCACGGCTGGGAACTATTTGGCTTGGGAGCAATGGCAAATGAGAGAGTCCAGCTGATGTTCCAGCCAGCTTGATTCACCAAGCCAAGGTTGCAGTCCAAAAAGTTCTGACAGACGCTGAGATTCCTCAGATTCCTCCTCCGGCTTTCCGTCGATCGGGCTTGCCACCACAGCATACCGACTCCGTGCGCCAGTACACTCTGAAAGTATACTCTGCCAGAACTTCACTAGCAAGAATGTTTGCACAACTCCGGGCTGAACAGGCAGTCGCGGATGTATTCTCTGCTAATGGTGCGCTTCGGGCGAATGACTAAGCCCTGCACATGACACTCAGCAAGCTGCTCTCGCTGGACGTCGTGTTCCCAGAGCCGACCTTAAGAGATGCCAGTCCTACTTCTAAGAGTGTAAGCGATGCTGCAGCCTCGTTGACGTCGGCAAGTCTGAGCAAGTCTGGGCCAGTTGCGGTGACGAGCCCTGCAGATGTCACCTCCAATCTAAAGATCGCATGGTTTGCCGGTGCAAATTGTGTGCAGCACTTTACCTACCAGCCGAACCAGCCGGAAATGTTCGTCGAAAGGGCTGGCTTGTAATTTCGAATCTTCAGTTCGGTCGGCAAATGGTATCTCGTATTTCGGCCGCTGCCCAGCTGCACGCTGGGAACTTCGTATCTGCAAGTCGGACCCCGGCACGAAGGTCCCAGGCTACTGCGCCGATTCCCACCATGGACAACATCGAAACTAAAACAGGCTTGCCAAACTCAATACTCAATAATCATTACACACTTGTGGTTCTCATGCGGTATAACTGCTCAAGCTTCAGCTTTGCGCACATCGGTGCAGAAGAGTTTAGGGGGCCTCTTTACCTGCTGTGTGAATGTCCAAACCCCCTTTTTCTGCGTTTGGCAAGATTCTGCTTTGCTGTGAGACGGTCTACACCTTAAACAATGCCCTAGTCAACCAGCAGATGGCACAGGCAATTTGTAATAACACTTTGCCTTGCAATTCCAAGCCACCTTCATGCGAGGGAATTGTTCAACTGGGGTAGGTTTGGGGGCCCTACAACAATGACATTTCTATGGCTTTATAAGGATTATATAGGGATTGAGGGTATAAACATAGCAACTTGTGTGCAAACCTACCCCTGTCAACTTGTGAGCTACGAGGCCGAGGGGGCAGGGCCGCAATACAAAAGTAGGCAGAGAGGTGACTTGCCCTCACCTCCACAGTTCGCTATCACCTCAATTTCTAGCATCTGCGAATTGAAAGAATGGCATAAATCCATGCTCGCTGCCACCGAATGTTTCAAAGGCAGCCGTCAGCAAGCTTCTCATTGCGAAATCGGTACAAGTTTCGGATCTCGTTCATTGTGTATGACGAGCAACTCATGCTGCTGGTTGCGAAACCTCTCATAAGAGCGCTCGAAATCCCATAGAGACTTTGGCTGTCGTTCCACCACAACCTTCTGCACAGGCACTCTTTGGCAGTAAGCATCCACAGGCAATGGTTTTGTGATGTCGTTCTCCGAGGTGCCGGTGCTATCCGGCATGTGCAAGGCTCTAGTGGCAGCTATGCACTTCCGCACGTGGGATAGGATGATGCGCCCATCGAAGTCAGGATCCAGGTCGTACATGACTTCGACAAGCTGCCTCAAATCATGGCAGTGCCACGTCTGACAATGCTGCTTCTCAGATGCGAACATCTTTGCATCGATACAATGTGCATTCGTGACCCCCCCGCACTGTGTGTCCTGCAGTCATGGGCCTATTTCACTGCAACTTCTCAGCCAGGTTTCTGGATGGAAACCTGCCCTCTCTCCACTATGTGAAGCCGCTGCCTTAGCAAACTCCACACTTGCTACTCGTTCTTGACTCTTTGACATGTCGACGATCCTGTTTGCCACCTATAGCCAGCAGAAATCACAAGTGCACTTGGACAGCCAACACGCCTTTGCCAACTGAACCTTCCTGAACGCCATTATTCCGTCCCAGTTTGGATAGTTTGGATTGGCCAGCGGCTAGCGCAACCAAGGTGCAGGCCCTCCAGAAACTCAGCTGGCTCAAGAACTCCTGGCTTGGGACTAAATGCGCACCCCACGCTCCAAACCTGCACGTGCGTGCAAACTGACCTGGCACGCCGCGATTCACCGGCTTGAAAAGGTGGGGCAGTCTGGCATGGTGCTCTTGCATCGCCTGCGCCCAGAGATTGTTCTTCGCATGTTAATATCATGTTAATCATCCCTTCCTCTTTGGGGCACCCGGGGTCAGAGCCCAGGCCTGGTGGAGGCCTAGGAAGATGTGGGCCGCCATGGCATCATAGCTCTCACAGCCCTCCGCCTCCAAACAAGCAGGCCCAGGCCCCAACCAGGCAATCCACGAGCTTGATGCATGTCATGTGATACCAGCCTTCAAATCCCAAGCTACCTGCGGAGACTCGTCTAGCTGAACATCAGCCTTTCATCGGAATCTGAATGCAAGTCACGCAGCTGTAAGCAGCACGTGTCATCCTTGCGTATGCAAAGACGAGCTGCTCCAATCGCATGGGTCTCATTGAGCATCTCTTCGTTCGGTATCCCAGAGTTCTTGATCATTGGATCAGTAAACCGACCTTCAAAGTGGCCTCTCCAGGCGGTTGGCTTACGCTTGCATCTCTTGAGGTCGCAGCATTCTCAACATGTGCACATGTGTGCTCACTCTGCCTGCGTGCTGGCCCTGACTGTTTGTGTAGGCTTCGTAAACGACTTGCAGCACAGGCCTTGTTCGAAACGAACTGCCTCGATGAATGTTTCCTGCCCAGAAATGTTAGTTAGATAGGGCTGATATGTGCTATTGAGCCTGCACTCCTCTCCATAACATAGCGACGCCACGTGCCCAAGCACTCATACGCACATGTGCTTACGCACGCGCTTGCACCTACTCGCACGCACACCCATACACACCCACACACACAGAGACAGACACATGCGGACACGCAGACACGCAGACACACTCACACTCACACACTCACACACACTCACACACACACACACACTCACACTCATGCACACACGCACACACACACACACACACACACACACACACACACACCCACACGCGCACACGCGCACACGCGCACCAGACACACGCACACACCAGACACACGCACACACGCACACCCGCACACCCGCACACCCGCACACCCGCACACCGCACACCCGCACACCCGCACACCCGCACACCCGCACACACGCACACACGCACACACGCACCCACGCACCCACGCACCCACGCACCCACGCACCCACGCACCCACGCACCCACGCACCCACGCACCCACGCACCCACGCACGCACGCACGCACCCACCCACGCACCCACCCACCCACCCACCCACCCACCCACCCACACACACACACACACACACACACACACACACGACACACACACACATACACACCCACACACACACACACCCCACCCACCACACAGGCACAGGCACAGGCACAGGCACAGGCACAGGCACAGGCACAGGCACAGGCACAGGCACAGGCACAGGCACACCCCCACATCCACACACCCACACACCCGCGCACCCACACGCACACCCACACAGAGACGCAGAGACGCAGAGACGCAGAGACGCAGAGACGCAAAGCCGCAGAGACACACAGACATAGACATAGACACACCGGCACACAATGGCACACAATGGCACACAATGGCGCGCGCGCACACGCACACACACACACACACACACACACACACACACACACACACACACACACACACACACACACACACACACACACACACACACACACACACACACACACACACACACACACACACACACACACACCACACACACACACACACACACACCACACACACACACACACACACACACACACACACACACACACACACACACACACACACACACACACACACACACACACACACACACACACACACACACACACACACACACCCCTACCTGCCTGGTCTCGTTTTCGGATACAATGAGCTCGACGCTGCGTCCGGCTGCGGTGCGCATTGTTCGTGGGCACCGTGGACTTAGACTTTAGCCTTGCACTCATGGACTTATGGATGATGGCTCGACACGTCTCGACACGGCTCAATCCCAAAGCAAAGCAAAACAGGTTTCGCCTGTGGTGCTGCAGCACCGCATCTGCCTTGCCCTTCCGCGTGGGTCGGTCGCGTCCTTCTGCAGTCCTGAGGTGGGCCGATGTGGTCTGCAGTCAGTCAATTGTAGTCTTCATGACATGCGCAGGTCGTCACTAACTTCGGCAGATTAACGCCATCCCCGAAATCATGGACGTGAAGCCTAACTTCTGACCAGCAAATCAGCATGTCTGGTGAACAAGAAGAAGAATCGCAGGAACTACAGCGGAACTCGACCCTGATCCCATTGCACTGTAATCATGCTGATCCCGGCCTGGGCCGTAAATCTGCGGCATCGCGGGCATGCCGGTGAGGCGGCTCCGAGCCCTTCACCTGCCGGGCCAACAGCATCCCAAGGCAAGCACGACTTGAGGGGTAAGTAGAGGCCGACGAAAGCCAGTCCAGAGTGAGTGAACAGAAGAGATTTCCAACAGAGACGGTGGCAAAGCGAAGACGATGAGAACAATCACATCTACATCTAGTGGGAAATGTGGAGCACGACTGTGAAATTTGTGAACCACTTCAAGTGTCCGCTACCGCTACACCCCAAAGGAGTACTGTGACAGAACCCACCTTGCCTGACACATCCATATTACGGAATTTTGACCGATTCAGGCGACTGCGGGGACGGAAACCCCTCTTGGTGTTGTCATTGTTGAGCACCCTCACTGCCCACAGAACTAAATAAGACCTACATGAACAGGCAATACACAGGCAAGTCGCCCAGCATCTCGGAGGCATGAGCTCCGGCTCGATCATAGTCGTGCCATATGGACCCTGTTTGCAATCTGGTCCTGGGAAGTAGACTCCACAAAAGTCCTGCCGATACCCTGGACGGCTGGGACCACCATGTCTGTTCCGTATCTGCTGCTGATTTGAACGAGGCCGGACCGAGATATCGCCGTAGTCATGGATGTGTAGCGGGGACGGCGGGCGTTGAGCATGGAGTATCTCGGAGTTGTCAAGGCGAATGTGCGCCGGCAAAACAGAATCGCTGCGATATCTCGGCAAGCTCCCTGCACTCTTGGTGCTGCTTACCTCACTTGCGTTGTCCGCTGCGATGAGGCCTTAGCTTCTCGCAACACAACTTCAGGTTGTGCTGGCGCGGCACTGCAGAAACACCGAGGAGGACCACAACGCCGAGAAACACCAAGAGACAGCAAGAAGATGCAAGAAGCGGCCAAGCAGCGTTCAAATTGTACGGCACGCGCCCGAGCCCAGCCCTCGCTGAGCCGGATGAGCTCGGCCTCCTCCTCTGCTTCTTCACGTGCAGCCTTCTCCTTTCGAAGCTCTCGGATTGTTGTGGCGATGTTGTTGTTTGTTTCTTGT